ACCCAAGAAAACTCTTCAAACACCGGCCCAGAACCTTCATCCGCTCCAACTTCTTCACGTACAGGGTCATCTCAGACTGGAACAAACTTCCACTAGAGATTGCGAACTCCTCCTCCTCGAAAAGGGTCTTCAAAACCCTGCTAGACTCACACCTGCTAGGGCTTACCATCCCCTGATCTATTTGACCTCCATCTGCTACAGGAAATCCCGACATTATATCGCTTATCCCTGTTACTACTCCTCTCACATCGTCGCTCTCCTCTAGATTTTTTCCCGATGCATGCACCTTCAACCCAGCGGCACCATATCGGAGCCAGCTCCCATTCCCGTCAACAGCCCTTTCAGCTCGTCCATCAAACTGCCGAAAAGAAGACGAATCCGGAACCGTGAATATTGGGCGCAAGCCTGGAACCCGAGTACTACTTCAAGACTTCAAGACTTGTTCTAATACAGCACCGATTCCGACGTCGGACGCATCGGTGATGAGCGTAGCTGGTTTTGAAGGTGAAAACGGGGCTAGAACAGGACGATCAGTACCGCAGCGAATTAAACCACGTAAGATATCTTCACACTCCATCGGCCATTCCCAAGCCTTTGAACACTGAGCACGGAAAAGCGGCTGCGCCCTTGTAGCAAAGTTCGGGATAAACCGGGAAAAGTACTGTAGGCATCCCATCACCGATCTCAAATGCGTTTGATCTTTTGGAGATTTGATGTTAGTCAATGGTTTGAAACGTGTCGGATCGGGACAGTGTCCACGGGAATCAACTAGGAATCCCAGAAACTCCAACTCACTTACTCCAAACACACATTTGGACGGCTTGATAGCCACATTCTTGGAGGGAAATCGTTCCAGTAGCTGCGTCAGACGGGCATCGTGTTCTTTCTTATTAAGACTGAAAATGAGGACGTCATCTTGATATGCAAGCACACCATCGAGTCCTTTGATTACGCTCTCTATTGCCAATTGAAAGAGGCTAGACGACACATGCAATCCGAATGGGAGAAAATTGCACTGGTACATTCCCCACGGCGTGTTGATTGTTGTAAAGTAGCGGGGTTCGACATCGAGTGGAATCTGTAGGTGTGCGTCCACCAACTCGGTCTTGGAAAAATACTGGCACCCATGCAATGACTTCATGAAATCCTCTGGTTCCATGGTGGTCGCTGCACATCTCCGCAATCTGGGATTCAACATCAGTCGATAGTTTCCACAGAACCGTGGTGTCCTACCACCACTTTTTATCGCCACGACGACCGGGGTCGCCCAGGCACTGGATTCAACCTTACTTATCACACCATTCTGCTCCATTTTATATAATGCTTTCAAGACACCTTCCCGTTGACCGTATGGGAGGACGCGTCGTTTTAGGAAAATAGATTCACCGTCCACTTCTAACTTTACCGACGGTACTTTCATGCCACCAACGTTACCGGAACACTGTACAATCAAATGTTGAAGATGTGAGGTGATTAGCATATCGTTGTTGGTATGTAGTGTGACGGATCATTTTAGTAGCCGCATTGCTCGAAGGCCCAGAATAGACGGACTGTGGGCTGATAGTAAGAATCGGATTGGGATTGACACACCGGATTCAGATTGAACGCACAACGTCGTTTCGCCCGTAACCCCATGAATGCGCACAGATGTCGGAGCTAGAACAGCATTAGGACAAATCGCAGTGAGTGCTAATTTCAGTGGGAAAGATTCCCTGTTTCCTGTGTCCATGACGAATCGATGCTCCACATCAGACTCGAACTTCAGTGGGGGGAACACGAACTGGCCGTTGGGTTCAGTGGTCTGCAGCTTGTAGATTGGGCTTGAGTTCTCATCTGCCATTGGGACATGGGAGTCGATGAGCATTCGGCATACATTGCGGATATGGCCCATCTTACGGCATGCATGGCAAGTGGCATTATGGAATCGACAAGTCGAACGAAAATGGTATTCACCACATGAAAAGCAGCGGTTGGTCGCAGTCTTCAGTTGTGTTCGGCTTGAACTGGGTACTTGAGGAACCTGGGGTGAATTATGAACATTGGGGGCGTCACGTAAGGGTTTCGTTGATTGACGATGGAATAACACAGGAGTATCCGCATTTGTGGCAGCACACAAATCGTCACTTTGCTCACAGATTGTTTGGGTCTCAGCGAACGTGATATCTTTCTTTTCCAACGTCTTACGTTGTAATGAGATGTTGTTGATTCCAGCAATGAGACGGTCACAAAGTTATTCTTCCAATCGGTCACCATATTTGCATTTTGACGCCTGTTTTTCCAACTGGAGAATGAACTCACGGCACGGCATTTTGGCAGCTCTGATCATTGAGTCGAATTTGGCCCGTTCAGTGGCCTAAAAATCCACTGGGAGAATGTGGTCTAGCAATAGGGATTTCAATTTCTCAAACGGCAATTCAGCAAGAACATTCGGGAACGATAGATTCTTCGCCAGGGAATACAGCTCTAGGACGCCCAATGTCAAAAATAGGACCGAATGATTTTGTATTCCTCCTTTACGGATGCTGCACCATAATTCGAAACGTTCTACCCACTCTTCGATTTCTGATGGGCTTCCGTGCAGGTTCAATGGTTCAATGACAGGAATCTCCATTGCGCAACGCCAAATTGTGATAATCGAGATAGTATTGAATTCAGGAATACGAGAATCCGTACTGTACTGCTCAGAACTGAATTGGCTCCAACCCGAACTACGGACACCAATGAAATACACGAGGAATTGATAGCAGCAAATGCTTGTGTTTATTGATGGATTCAGATCATGTTTTATAGAATGTAATAGTTCAAGTGATTGGTTGGACGAGCATTCTCTAATCACGTAACCGTTTGCACTGACGTATCATACGTGCTAACTCGGATGTCATGTTCGTTCGGTGTACGATTGGTCGAGATTCATCAACGGTGATTGGATGACCTGAAACTGTACCTAGTCGTGTGTGGATTGCGGTCACGGAATTCTGGATCACCACAGGTCATCAACCGTTTCAGCATGACGGAGGACAATCGTCTCAAACAGCTGCTGAACAAAATCCGTCTGGGGGATAACTGGCTACATACTCCCACGTAGCTACTCACCTATATGAGGAGTCTGTCTTCCAGCTTACACGTAAGGAAAAACGTGCTACGCATTTGTTTGATGCAATCATTGCCAGAATACGTCGCGACTTTCCTTAGGGTATTCGCAAATAAGGCTACCTTAGACGAGCTCACAGAGGCAACCGACAGGATTTGCGCACAAATCCCGTCGGCTCCACCAGTCATCCCCGTATCCTCAGACCCAAGGATTTATTCGTGGAAGGACGCAAACGACCAAGTGAATGGGCGCTTGGACGAATTAATGACTCAAGTAGCCGCACCTATAATTTCCCGCAATAGGTCGCGTTCTAGCTCGCATTCCAGCTCCCGCTCTCGTTTTTCCTCCCGTTCGTCATCCCATAGACGACAGAGATATTCTAGGTCACAAGCCATATCTTTGGACGTTTGCTGGTACCATCGCCAATATGGTGACGCAGCACGAAGGTGCACAAAACCTTAGGGCTACAAGCCATCACAACAGGGAAACGCCTAA